TGCATTCTTTCCAAAAATCGGGACTTTTTAAAAACTCTGCGGGACATGGAAAAAATTGTCACAAATCGGACTGTCCCGTCAAAAGCGGGATGTCTGGTTACCAGTAATTGGCTCCCCCTTTCTACCCCACCCTCTCTCTACCCTCCCAGTATCGCGACTCTCACCACTGGTCCTGAAGGGATCATCCGTCCTGGATTCCCTGTGTTTCCAGTTCCTGTCTGTACCAGTATACATCATCTGGTCTAGCCAGATTTGTAAGGTAGAATTGGGATCATGATAGTGGGGAGGGGGAAGGGGGAGGAAGCATTTAGGAACTAGAGGAAAGTTTATCTTTCATCATGGCTACATTGCACACTGACAGTCTCCTCCCCATGACCCTTCTGTAAAGGGATGTCCAGTTACCTACAGATGGGCTTTGGGGCTCCACTCCGCACTCTCCCTCATTCACAATCATATGATTTTTGTTCTTTGATGCCTGATACCTCATCCCTTCGACACCTCATGATCACACAGGCTGGTTAGTTCTTTTAGGTGAAACTGGGTAGGTTTAAACCTTTTAATTAATAGCTGAGGGTTTAACTATTTGCACCACCCAAGATCTTTTTCTTAATGTTAAATTATTGAGCAATTAACCAAAAACCTCGCTGCTGTGGAGTTAATGCTGACTCATAGTGACCCCCTGTGGGTTTCTGAGACTGTAACTGTTTACAGGAGTAGAAAGCCCAGTCTTTCTCTCCTGGAGCTGCTGGTGGGTCAAACTGCTGACCATTTGGATCGCAGCCCAACTCGTAACCACCATACCACCAGGGATCCTCGGTTGAGCAATACATTACCACAAATAAAACACATTATAAACAGGATGGGGAAATAAAACCTGTCAAAAAGTTTGGCTTCAGTGATCATAACATACACAGAGCACTGCCAAGCAGTGTTCTGAGTTTGCACATACGAGTTCATTCCATCCTCATGAAAGGCTCCTGGGTGGGGTGGGGGCACCATGGGTAAGTAACGGGCTGCTAACCCAAAGTCATTAGTTGTGGCTCACCAGGAGTCAGGCGGGAGAGAGTTCTCGCAATCTGCTTCCATAGAGGAAAATAACACCAAACCCACTCCCATCTAGTTGATTCCAACCCGTAGCAATCTTACAGCACAGAGCAGAACTGCCCCATAAGTTTTCCCCGGCTGTCATGTTTGCAGTCACGGATCTTTTCTCCTGTGGAGTGGTTGGGTGTTCAAACCACTGACCTTTCAGTTCACAACCAAGAGCTTAATCATTTTACCAACAGGCTCTGGCCTTAGGAAAGAGGTATTATTATTACTGCCCATTTTACAAACAAGGCTCAGAGAGGCCTCTCCTCAAGAAACTTTCTTGAGAAAGAAAGAGAGAGAAGAGAGAGAAAGAAAAACAAGTTAAAGGGAAAAGAGATTCTCAAGAGAATAAGCTCCTAGTTTAGTTGTTAAGGTACTAAACCGAGATTCCTCCCTGGATTATTTTTTTAAAAATATCTATGATTTAAAGTTAAAATGAAACACAACTGTTTTATTCTCTCTGGAATGTCCTCAGGACTTTCAAGACCCAAATATTTTGTACTTTGAATTATTTGTTGAAACCATGTGTATTCAGAAATGGAAGACAGTTTGAGTGAGTTAAAACATTTTTGAGGTAATAGGTATTTTGGTACATTAGCCGGTTATTAATATCCTGAAAATTCTTCTGGTGCTGGTATTGTGGAATGAGACCCATTTCTGCAGATTCACAAACTCACACAGGTCCCCATCAGATAACAGTAGGCACTAAAAGTGGGATAAAACCTTCCCACCAAACACCAGAGGTTAAAAAAAACACAAAACTTTAGAACCAATGAAGACCCTCCTGATTATTGTTACTTTTTAAGAAATTAAAGATTATATATACATGGGGTACCCAAAAAATCCCGGATTTTTTCAAAGCTATGCATTTAAAATTAATTTTTATAAAACAACCTTATCATCTTGAAAGTACTCTCCATTACATTTAATATATTTCTCAAATGTTTACTTATTGAGCAATAACCAAAAGCCTCACTGCAAAAATCTTCTA